TTTGAACCCAATTTTCAACGCATGCACCCAATTTGTTTTCCGTTTGATATGTGGTATTAGTTGTAAAAACGCTGAATAGAATGTTGTGTCAGAATTGAATATCAAAACAAATCGTTTTATCCGTTTGATAAGGGATTGATTGTATTTAACTGTTATTTAAAATAAACGAAAATATGTCACATTTACTGTAAACACTTTTCTAGTTTAACCAATGATACATCATTAATCTGAATTAAAATGTCAATTGCAAGCCATTGTATGATTAAGTGATTCTGGATTTGTTTAGTTGTAGTATATAATTCTTTATTTTTTTCTTTCAGATAGAGAATGTAGATGAAGCGGTAAGTTAGAGATTAATGCTATTTAACAATTTCAGTATTTTTTAAATTGAAATAATAATTAAAATTACAATTTTGTGGAAGGTTGTTTAGAAAAGAAACTCTCGCATCTTGAAATGACTACACAGATTTCTGATAGCGTTTGCAAAATTTGTTATCAAAAATAGTCGGAGCTGGATTCCTATAATCAATCAATCGTTAACCAGATAAAATTGATTCGATACAACTTATCATCAGTATCAATTTTATATCAAATTGACTATGAATTCTAGTTCGGCAGCAGAAGACAAACAAATGCTTATTATTATTCATAGTCATATTTTATTATAAGGGAATAATGATTCCATGCAATTTATCTTTAGTTTATATTACATTTATTTATCAAAATACGCACTGTAAAATATCTAGATTTTAATAAGTAAATAATTGGGCATAGTTTTGCATGTGTTCACTTTAATTTTTAATCTACAACTCTTAGCTATACATACCTCAAATAAGTAAAAAGCAACAATCCATTATAACAAAGAGATATTACTTTTAAAGTATTTTCTTATTATTATTATATATATAGTGCCTGAAAATGATAATATTTGTGGGATTCGTCTCATCTGTTCCTATATATTTGTCCTTATTTCAGTTAATAACAGAGGGGATATAGATTATTTTGATGTTGCATGTTTACCTTCATTTCAATGATATAATAAATAATAAAGATGTATTTATTTACAATATGTATGCAAATTGAGAGTTTACTTAAAGGGATATATATATATATATATATATATATATATATATATATATATATATATATATATATATATATATATATATATATATATATATATATATATATATATATATATATATATAAATTCATGATATTTTATTTTATTTTTTATGTATTTTATGAATATCACTTTTATCAGTCTTGTGCAGGATTATTCACAAAATAATAATTAACAACATAATGGTTTGAAAACCCGAGCTGTTTTTGCGCCAAATGACCTAAATTATGTGAGTGCACCGTTATACCAACAAATTTACATTATAATATGACAACTCATATCATAACATATCATAGATTTATTCATTGAGCATAAACTCTTTTACCAAGTTTATAACAAAAAAAAAACATATTTGTGGCAGCACATGAAAACTGTTAAAAATGATAAATTAATAATGCATAGTATTTTGCACATTTAAACAAATGTTCGTGTATTTATTCTATCATGTCATTTGCTGTTTTCACATTAAGAGCGTACAGTATTATATGGGGGTATATGAACAAATAATGAAATTATTATTCTATTGAATAAATATACATGTATATATTTCGCTAAATAACAAGTATTTTTTTAGATGTGGCGGCATTCATTAACTGATTAAATTTATGTATCAATGGCCAATATACTGCCGATAGTACTTTGTTCTCAATTCGCGATATTTAGGACATATTAAAATAAAGTGAACTTCAGTTTCTACTTTTCTCTTAATACCACTGCGAAAAACATACTGATATACGGGAATATACGGTCCCGTATTCTTGACATATACGGGCGTGTACGGGATGTATTCGTCGAATATACGGACCAAGTATACGAGTCCGTATAGGGAACACCGGGTATACGGGAAGTCCGTATATGCATCAGGCATATACGGAATTCCGTATTTGCCCCATATACATGTACGTATATTTGTTCGTACTTTTGAAGTATACGGAGAATAAAATCCCGTATACGGACTATATTAAGGTTGTTATCCCTAGTATACTATAAATATACCAAGGATATACGGGACCGTATTTTCTACATATACAGATGATATACGGACTCGTATTTTCTACGTATACAGAGGATATACGGAACCGTATATTCTACATATACAGAGGATATACGGACTCGTATTTTCCACATATACAGATGATATACGGAATCGTATTTTCTACATATACAGAAGATATACGGAATCGTATTTTCTACATATACAGGGGATATACGGAATCGTATTTTCAATATATACAGGGGATATACGGAATTGCATTTTTTAGTTGTCCACAGGGAATACAGAACTGTATTTTCTTGATAAAAGAAGATACAGATAATATCAAAAGCATGCATTTACATATAAGTGACACGTATACATGACCGAAATGCAGACTTGTACAATAGAACATGTTTTATTACACATTTTGAATGGGAACTGTAAAGTCATATGCTTAAGAACTTTATCTTCACAATTGGAGTATTTCAAATAATAAAGTAAAAACCAAATCGAGTCACTCTTAAATATTTATTATTTCATAAACATATATTCAATATGTATACATATATTAAACAAAATAAACATGTCTTCGCTACAACAGTCATATATTGTTGCAAGCCTTATTCCAGAGGGACAAATTAATGTAGCGTTGCAACGGAACGGCGATATACCGGTATGATGCGATACAGAGTCATGAAATACGTATCACAGTGGAGAAAATCCGCACTGCGATATTTTCTTTAGAGATCGAGTTATACATGTACATGTTTCGATATTTTCAAGCCGTAACCTTTATGAATTGCATGTTGTTTAAATCTAGAACAAACTATACCAACTTGAAGTTCGATTCTATTTATCTTAACAATGATTTTTATGAGCCACTTGTATTACACCCATAAAATATTTTAAAGATATTCATATCATTTGTTCGTGTTAACATTCACATATTATTTTAGGAAAATGAGTCCATAGCACAAATTGATTATTACAGAAAGTTTAAATAATAATCATTAAAACTAAAAATCCGTATTCACAGAAATTCGTCATTCAAACACAGTTCTTAAAAGCACTTAAATATATCAATCATCTATAGACCCTTTCATTTAAGCGAAAACAGTCAGGGAAGAGTTACTTCCCTTACCGGATGTGACGTAAATGGGGGATAAAACTATGCAGGCCGCATAGAATGTTAGCTTATTGAAAAGTTAAATGCGTAAAAACTGATCGTTCAATTTTGACTATACATTGTAAAAAGTTTCGCATGCATACATAAATTCAACAATAGAAAAAAAAACAAAAACAAAGATTGAGATTAATTCTCGCTACGGAGTGAAACAGCTGCAGTATATTTATTAGATATATATTTTCTCAAATGCCCGCATAAAAAGCTAGTAACTTAATCAAATTTTAATATTTTATAAACACCCATACACACTGAAATTGCCTATTATAAATTTAAATGGCCATTTTCTAGTTTTCTGTATTATTTTCTGTCATTTAGAAAATTCCGGCGTTTTTGTGACAAACATCAAAATAAGATTACCAATGTCTTTTAATGATAGTTTTTCAAGCTTTAATAGAACAATTACATAATGCATTTTGTCAATACTTACTGATTATTTTCATTATGCCGTATAAAAATATTTCTAAGAACCAGTGAAGGATATAATTCTATAAATATTCCGAAAAGAACGAAAAACATGTGTCATTGACTTTTGTAATTTTAAATTCGCAACAGACGATAATAAGATAATTTTGATATTAAAAATCTATTCTTATGGTTATGAAAATAAAGACTTTTTCCCTTTTGTAACTTATTTCATAGATAAATAGATGTGTATATATAAGCGCAACTGGGCCGTATCATATTAATTAACAGGGTGCATATGTTGTATATTCAAGCGGCACTTGGCTGTGATATCATAAATCACCAGGGTGCATTTTTTAGAGTTATAACATTACATCAGATTACGTCACTTTTGTTAGTTGTCAAAATATTTATGGTCTGAATTTTGTTATGGATCATCATAGGGGCTTAATTGGCCATGCCTTACTGATTTGATACTCGATCCAGAGTCCTACCAACTGGCACAGTCAAAAATACATAAAATTATAATTCAGTTAATAACGAATTTATGTGTTTTACAACTTGTTTTTTGTGATTTTTTTTAAATATTTGATAAGCAGAGTATGAATTAAAAAGTATCAAGTTTAAAATATTACTTTACCAGCTTAAACATATTGGTGTTATGTACAATTTTATGAGAGAGCATTTATTGCCGACACAAATAGTATACAGTCATCATGTACATTTGAAAGAATTTTTACTTTTTATGCCTTTACATTTTTTTTTAAATTACATATATTTACATTGTTGTTTTTTCTTTGTCTTAGTAATGCTTAAATCAAAATGACTTTTAATAAACCAGTATCTTGCAATTCATTATTACGCAGCCGTTTTTCGAAACTACACAATCCTTACATTTTTGAAACTCAAAATATCTTTTGGGTATTGTATATTAGCAGAGACATAGATACATTATCTATATCTCTGGTATAAGCAAGTTAGTACAATTTAACAGCCTGGTAAAATTTTCATTCATTTATAAAGAATCTAACGAAAATGGTAATCATGATCAGTTACCCAGCAATACTGTCTACTATTAAAACAAATCGTTAACCTTATTATAGTAAACATTTTTATTCATTTCACCATCCTTTTATGTAATATCTTATTAAATTACACAAAATTTTGGCAATTTCAATCTGCCAATCTTACAAGAGATAGGATTAAGATCTTTATATCCCTCTATTATTGTACATAATCGTATCGCCATGTCCACCGTATCCCCCAATGACGTCATCCAAGGGCGACAACTTGAATACGGTCTTAAATGAAAGGGAATGCTACGTAGACCAGTGTGACGGTGTCTATTTCGTGACGTAGGAAATGTTATCTCCAGATATTACAATCTTCTTCGGCATGTGTGTATCTGAAAAAGAGAGTTTAAAATCCTGTTTAAATAGTGTCGTGAAATAGTTATCACAACTTTCAAAAAGACTATACACAAGCATTTTTTAAGCGTATACATTTATACATTTTTTTCTAACGCAAAATTCAAAAAATATTTTATATTATTAGGATAAAGATGTCATTTATAAGCAACCATTTACACAGGATTTAAATGAAATGATTAATCTATGACGGATGATAAGTTATATGCTTTTGTTATAAAACCTTTACGAATATATTTATTTCACACCTGTAATATAAATGATAATGGTATCTTTGTTCTATGTAAAGAGTGTTTTATTGATTAAAAATATATTAATACAAAATAACATTGTATTGGGAAAAAGTGCTGACATAATCTTTTTGATCGTTTTACGATGTATATTAGCATCGTTAGTAGGAGTCAATTCGTTTGAAAAAAGGCTTAAAGCTGCACGCCTCCAGATGAGCGAAAATATTTCAATAAAATCAAACCTGAGAAAAATGTACTAAGATTTTAGGAAAAGTGTAAAGATTCAAAGTTCTAGTAATAATTTACATGTTATGTGCGATTAATGACCGATTTTTCAGTATTTATAACTATATTTCTACTGCGCGGTTACTAACGCAGTAAGGGCTATTTTTGCATATTTTGTCCTCTTTTTAGTAATTTACGTAGATTGTAAGTGGCATTGATATTGTGTAAATTGCTTCCTTTTGGTTATATCACTGAATAATACTTTTAAAAACATTTTCAAAATTTTCATGAAAATTAGCATGAATCTTGAGGCGTGCCGCTTTAAAAAGTACAGATATTTTTACTCAGATGTAGATCCGTGTTTGCACAATGATATCCAGTTAAGTAAAAGGCGGAATACCCAGCTATACTTCTCATTTATATTAAAACGTTAATCTTAACAAATTTGGATTATTATTTGTTTCAATTTCAATTGTTTCAAAAACTATCTCAGCAACGAATGAATACCTTCAATATACAATAGTGTAGATTAATATTTTTTTTATTGTTAAGACTGTTTAACTAGGTAATTGACAATAGAATCTCTTACAGTGTGTTATCTCTAAAAATAAAGTGATAATTCTCACGAAATATAAATCAAAATATCCTCCCTTGCCTATAGCATTAATCTGATAGTATGAAATCAAATTCAGATAATAAAATATACGTATCATATGTGGCAATTGCATAAAATAACATAGGAACTATTTTAGTTAATACATGCGAATGCGACTATTACGTGCGCACGTGAAACATTTACGTATCAACGCAATATGTTTCACGTGCGCACAAGTACTGTGCGTTTAGTATGATAATTAAGTGACGAGTTGGTAAAGTCCACTATCCAGGTGTAAAACAGCTATCATATTGTGTTTATTATCTTCAAACAGGCTAGCTATATAAATTAAATTATCAACAAATTAACCAACTCTCAGCGTAATGCAGTAGGTAAGGTTGTGGTAAATATCAATGCAAGACAGCTAGGCTCGGATTGCACCTTTTCCCCAAAAATATTGCTTTATAATTATCAATCAGGTAGGAAAGTTTTGTATCATTTATTGTAAAGATTATAAATGCTGTGATATTTTCTATTAACTTCTCATTTTGTTTTAAATGTAGCTATATTTAGCCCTATTTAGCAAGTTGGTGCAAACTTATACGGAATGCATGATACTGTACACAGACTGTTTCAACTATAGTTAAGTTTGCACGAAATACTATTGCACTGCAAAAGTACTATGACTACTACATACTACACACTATACAGGATAAAAATCACTATCATCCGTGCATGTATATCTAAATTGTTAAATATCATAACAAAACTGCCTTTCTATCCCAATTCATTTTTCTAATGTAAAATTTAAAAAAATTATATATGGAAAGAAAAACGCAAAAAAGTAAGACAACTTGTGAGGCTCGAACTTGTGATAAAATTTAATGTGTATGACATTCTAACTTTTCCATCAAGACATTTCAAATTCTGTTTCTTATCTGACATTATATTCGCTTTGAAAACCCTGTCTTACCTATTCAGTTATGTTGTTAACTTTCGTGTACATGTACAAAAGAAAATGTAACGTCACTCTCACATTATCAAAGCGGCGTACTTATCGCTTTACGCACGTAGTAACTAAAAAAATAACTATCATTAACATATATAAAAGTGATTAAACTGTAAAGAAATACATATTTTTTGATACAGTAATATGTTTAAGAAAAGAAAACTAATTTAATAAAATAAAGTCGCATGCACATTGCATCTATATCAAACCATTGTGTGTGTTCGAGTTAATTCTTATATTTTATATATTTGATTTTTGCATATTAAAAGCAAGTATGGTTTAGCATTTTCAAATGCGCGGCAAAATGCTTATATCATATATGCCTTAATTGACATCATTTTATGAAGTGTGACATCATTCCGCCTAAGAATTGATTCTAACAAGATATAAAAGAGAACCAATGTATGTATAACTAACCACATTTATTCTTGTCAAAATAAATGCGTGTAATTAAGGAAATTTGACTTCGCCTTGAGAAAGAATAACACACATGATGTCAGTACAGAGTGGAATATATATGAGTCTTGGTAACTCTTCTTTACAGACAGTATGTCCGTGTAATTGTCTTATTTTATTCACAAAACGCAACAATGTATATACGTGAACTTACATCTATATAACTTGCTACCATACTTTTCTTCATCTACAATTGCTGTAAAGAGGGCACAGCTGCATTTCTAGAAGATTTAACTGTCCTGAAAAATCATAATATAACTTCAGCATAAAATGATAAAGGGCACATTGAAAATATTTCATAAGTGATCACATGTGCGAAAGTGTTAATACTGTAGGAACGTGTTCACTTTTATGTGCATGTGTAGTTATGTATTTTGTGTGTTCGTGCGTGCGTGCGAGTGTTACCATATTGCTTTATATGAGATATAAGTCAAAATATGGAATGTCGAAAAATGTGTGATGTACAAAGGCTCAATACAGTTTTTCAAGCGTTTAAATTCATGTATAATGAAATATTAAATAACTGTTTCCTCAAACAGGCGCGTGTTTGTGACTGGCCCATGCGATATCACATTATGCGTAATGTTTATCTTAAAAACTAAACAAAGAGTTTTAATTATAATAAGAGAAAAATATTTAAATTTTAATTTGTCCAATAAAAAATCCATTGTAAATGTCGAAAACTCAGTTCATGTATATACAATTTTAAAATCTGGGCAATCCTGAATAACGTAGATAAATAACCAAAAATATCTAATGAAAACCAAGAGTTGTCTGTCCTGAATTGCGAGTAAACTCGATCTTGCTAATTACTATTAATGTTAAAAAATACAAACAAAACCGTTTTAAAACTTTTGGTTCGTTGCGATATTTTATTTTTCACGAGTTTTAAAATTCTTACACCGATATCAGGCTCCTGATCTAAGCTTCGTATCAATGTAACAATAAACATATGAGCCGCGTCACGACAAAACCAACATAATGGGTTTGCGACAAGCATGGATCCAGACCAGCCTGTGCATCCGCGTAGTCTGATCAGGATCCATGCTGTTCGCTTACAAACTATATAACAAGTAGAGAAACCGATAGCGAACAGCGTGGATCCTGATCAGACTGCACGGATGCGCAGGCTGGTCTGGATCCATGCTGGTCGCAAACCCATTTTGTTGGTTTTGTCGTGACGCGGCTCATATGTTTTGACACGAAGGGTAAGTGAATTAACAGTTAACTGTTAAACTTAACACCTGTCGGCCATATTACATGCAATCATACACATTCTTTGTATTAATGTAAATAAAAAATTCTGACAATTATTTTCATTTTATTTATTCATCTAAATGTATTATGATTTAAATAAAAAAGAAATGTTTGTTTCCTATTTTTGTTTAAGATTTGTATTCATTTAAGAATAGGTTTATATAAATAAGAAATAAAACAACATGTGTACAGAAACTTAAAAAAAAGTGAATGAAATTGAAAAGAGCGGAGTCTTTAAATTGACTTATGTATGCATCAAATAATGGGGATTTGTATAAAAATAAAAACTGCGAATATAAAACAAGTATTCTGCTCGTTAAATTATCAAGACTGAGAAACAATTTTATCTAAAAATTTATAAACCTATTTTTTAGAAGTACTAAGCAATTTTCTTTTAAAATATGTTAATCTGTTAAATCTGAATAGATAAAACATAACCTATTTTTGGCTATCAATTTCATAAATTACTATTAAAATAAATAGAATTTGAGTGTCTCTTTTCGATATGATCTTTCTTGCACATTGATTCGCACCCCTGCTGTTAAGTGATAATTAAGATCGCTCAAGATTATAAAGTCCAATCAGTTGACCAACCAAGCATACATAGGTCGTGTCACACACACTGATTAATCCCTTTGTACTACCATGTCCAGGGGCTGTAATACCTTGACATATTCGGTGTTTAAATGTCGTAATTTTTAACTCGGTGTCTTTTTTACCCTGAAGGGAAGTTATGATTAACGCATTTAACAAATGCCCTTTTCATTTTTTTGTTTTTGCATTTTTCATACAAATTATTAATTAAACAAGATACAGTTTAGAAATCAAAATCAAACCCGTAACCTCCCAGTCTAAATTTAGGGATATATCCCTGCTTTAATTATCTAATCCGGCGGCCATATTGGATAGCGAAACAGATTAAACAGTGTTAAAGTTTTCTAAAAACAAATCAGTTTAACCCTGAAATAAGCTGTTGTTCACAAAATGCAACTATTCTATTGATCGCATATTGATATTGCAACGATAAAAATAACTTTTAACCTACCTTGTTTGCAATATTCTGAATTTTTATTTACTATCCATTTCCAATCCCGTTTTTTCTTTTTTCATTTCGCCCGCGCTATTTCTGATTGGTTGATAGGATTCACGTGATACAAAACCAACGCTTTAAACTCATTGGCTGTTTTGAAAACGCGTGATATGCCTAGATACCGTTTGTGTAATAAGCATTTAGCATTAATAATGCCACGGATTTATGCTAAGGTCGGTGATAATGCGGAAGGAAAATGCATACTAAGACCTTTATTCGATCCAAAATAATTCAATATTAAATTGGAAATATAATGTATCCATAAACGATAACTTTGCATACATGTATAACATAACCATTGATAATTTTTCATAGGCAAAACTTTGATTCTAATGCTCAATCGGTTTTTTTTTTTTTTTTGATAATAATAATAATAATACTTATGATAATGATGATGATTATAAATTACACAAATTTTTGTGACAACAACAATAAGCGGGTAAAACAAAAGACCCACGTTAAATTAACATATAGGACAAAAACGCCCCAACCCCAGTCCATCAAACAAAAGCCTTCCTAAGGTTTATAGGGGGGGGGGGGGGCTTTAGTCCGTATCCCCATTAAAATAAATAAATTACTTACTTATACACACAAATGAAGTATAAAGATCCTTTCACATTATCTGCGGATTTCATAATTAAAATAAAACTTTATTAGTATAAGAATATTTGGAGAATCGGTAAAAATTCGAAAGTCCAATTTAAAAGGTGATTTTACTATCAATATATAATTTAGTATGTTCTTAACTTGAGTTTTTAAATCAAACTACGACAATTTTTATTTTGACAATTTTATTTTTTTTTTTAAACAGAAATTTACTTTTACAAAAACTGTTTCCTAGATACATAATTTTATTTTAACAAGGTAACAAATGTTAATTTACATAGCACGGTCATGTTCCCCTGTCCTGAACAATGTTCAAGTCACCGAATTATGCATAAAAAAGGCCGATGGGAGACGAGGAAACTCGGGAGATGATGATGATATTTTTCAAGATATGTTATTTCGAATAATTTGACATCATCTATCAACAATACATGTACATACACCCCAGTAACATCCATCTGATTATAGCTTGTTAACTTAGATATAATTGGACCTGGCGGCAGGGTACTTTAAAGTTTACTTTAAGATAAATCTTAATAAATTGTGTCTTGTTTAAATGACGAATTCCGCCAAATCAAAGGATAACAACAACACGACGCTGCAAAAACATTGGAAAGAATATAGCAGCTATGTCTGTTTCATTTTAATATGTCGGGTTAGAGTCTTAATAATATCTGGAACAAAATCACATAGAGACTCGGTTATGAGATCACAATTTATTTCCCTTATTTCGTACATGAATTATATTAGAAATTGACAGTAGACATTTAACACCAATTGCGCTAACTTACCTAATCGGAGAAAACCGACACTCGATATACCCTGCTGCGTTTATGATCAATATCTGGATCAATATCCGGCTTAATCAGTATTGTCTTCGATTATGGCAATACAGCACGTGGCTATTACACAATATTATGTCATAAATGAGACCGCGCGAAAAGAATCAAAATTGGGGAATTCGGAACTTCATAAGATTTCTATTCAAAACTTGTGTACAAAAACGCAAATCTTTGTTTCCAGAAATAAAAGATTAAATAAATAAATAAATAAATAAATAAATAAGAAATATATGAATAAATGAGTAATGAATGAATGAATGAATTAATTAATGAATGAATGAATTAATTAATGTATGAATAAATGAATGAATGATTGGTTGATTAAATAAATAAATAAATAAATAATAAGAAATATATGAATAAATGCGTAATGAATGAATGAATGTATGAATAAATAAATAAATAAATGAATGAATGAATGATTAGTTGAATAAATGAATGAATGAATGAGATATCATTGTTTTTTTTACATATGCAAGTACATGTATTATATTATGTATAGCCTATTTTTATAGGACATATATCAACGTAAAATATAATTGCTGTGTGGACAATCCCGATTTCATCTTCGTGATTTCACAATTATTTTAATTTTCACGATTTCAACTTCACAGATTCACGATTTTATTATAACTAATTCATGTCTTGAACATCACAATTTCAACTTTATTATTTTCTCATGTTTGGCTTATCATTATAAAATATTATAATGATAATGAAAAGGAAATTACAAAATAACATGATTCACCATAGATACAAAATGCAAAACAGTACTATCTCATCGTCTATCGCAATTGTAAAGTATTCGCTATTTATCTGCGGGTGTATGCTAAAAAGCAAACCAAGCGGTATTGAGCTAGAATACCGCGTCTGCATGTTACTGGTGGATGTCTTACACGTTCTGTGCACTGACGATATTATTTGTACGCAATTGACGCGTTAATAACTCCAGGAAATTTTGCATTGTGTAAATTTTCAAATGTCTGACAAATATATGATCAGTCTATTTCTTTACTCTTACAGGAAATAGGCTATTCAGAAGTAAATTTTCATTCGCTATTTCTATATACAGAATCCGTATTTGCACGAATACGGAATTTCGTATTTTAGTAATATACGGACTTGTTATAAAAATTCCGTATATTAGTAAAATACGGACTTCGTACATCAAAGTTCCCGTATATTACGAGTGTACGGAGTTCGTATTCTAGTCATGTACGGACTGATATAATATACGGTCCCGTACATCTCCGTATTTCAAGTTCCCCGTATTCTTACACTTATATTAATGATATACGGAATTCCGTACACTTCCGTATATCCATGTCTTTTTCGCAGTGTACACGATTTACAAAGCCGTTCTTCTTGCGCGATATTCTCGTAACGTCTTGTTCCTATCAATAAACCGTTCGACGATGTTCTATGTCTTGATAGTGAAACCCTATACTGGTTCTCTTTAATGTAATATATATAATTTTAAAAAGTATGTTTAAATATACAGATAGGTTTGAAGAATTGGCGAATTATTTATCTTTGTGTACCAGCGTTGATAATATGTATCATATATGCGTTGTTTTATCAACTGGAAAGGTATATTACTCGCATTCGTTTGTTGATTACAGACGTAGCTTAATCCATGTACATCTGGAATGCTTTCACTTGAGCAGCTCAGTTATGGCCACGATGCTCACGACCGCTTTCAAGCGTCGGCTTTTAAAAACGTAAAGGTCTGCTTTATAAGTGAAGAGTCCGTGTGCCTATACATTTTTATCCAATGTTTAATCATGATTTGTTTTCTTAATACAGTTAGTGTTACGCGCCTGAGTTCTCCGTAAAGTGTGAAAAGGGTTTTTTAACGTTTCACACACAATACACGACGTAAGAATTTAGTATGTAACAGTTATATGTTGGTCGTTTCATGCACTCCCCATATTTCAGAGCCGAAATTTTAAATAGAGCCAACCAAAATAAAATTATATTTGTTTAATTGGTAACTCGATGTATGTAAAGATGGTGAACAGGCAATATAAAACAACTTACCCCACACCGCTGTGGGTTCGAATCCCGACAGGGACTTTGGATACTTTCATTTGAGAAAGCTATCCAGCTAGCTTACGGAACGTCGTTGGTTCTACTCAGGTGCCCGTTCGTGCCTAAAAAATGCATTGAGGGGCACCTTAGGTCTTCCTCCACAAGCAGAGCTGTAACGTCGCCAAATGACCTATACTGTGTCGGTGTGACGTTAAACCCAAATCAAACAAAAACAGGTTATATAATGCACAAGAAGCATGCTGCGTGTCAATGTGCATCTTTAAAAAAGGTGATAACTAAATATCTAATTTACGTACAAACTTCTAAGGGAGTATCTGCAATAATAAAATTATGTTAAGAATGACGGTCCCTTTCTATGGTGGCTGATTTGGGCCATTCGTGTTTTCGCCCCGCGCCCCCCGCCACTAATTTTAAATTTTAGCGCGGACGCCTGCGTTTTGCCTTGTCAACAATCTTTAAACAAATTCTGGTTTAAAACATTGACTGCACAGAATTTACCGGAATGATCATTGGGTGGTCCCCTTTTAAGTTGTTTAAATGGTTTTGGTATAGATACAAAGTACATCACGAGGCCAGAAAAGAGTTTCAAACATGCAAATTTAAACAAATCTTTTTGTCTGTTCAAATTTTGACCCTTTTTTCAAAATATGCCCCCGCCACGTGACAGGGGGGGGGGGGGGTCATTGGTTTGCCTTATATGTATTTAGTTAAAATTTTAAAAAATTCATTGATTTTCAATATAAACAGAAAAACTTAAACAAAACCTCATGACTGAAAATACAATGCTAAAAGCTTTGATAAATATGATAAATAATATCATCTATAGGTCCTCTACCAATGTTATTAAAATTTTGCCCGTAGTGTCAAAATTGGATGGACCAGCGACATCCATTGCAACCACTTACTTAATTTAGCAACCAGTGACTTTCATAGCAACAATTGTCATTTCATAGCAACCATTGTATACTTACGTCATACGACAATTGATCTACTTTCTTGCAATTTGTTATGAATTTTAGACCATTCACACCGTTTTAGATGTAAAATTGAACTTCAATATCAGCTGTCCTTAATCTTTACAAATGGCCTACTTTCTTGTCCAATGAAATTTGGACCATGTTCAAAGATTTAGAAGTAAAAATCAGCTTACCTAAATTATGCTGAAATGAACTTGTTTGGCTTTTAAGCTCACCTGAGCTAGCTCAGGGTGAGTTTTATTTAGATCGTTGAATGTCCTTCGTCCGTTGTCCGTTCACAATTGTTCGTTAACAGCCTAACGATCACATTTAAGTACTTGCTCGGATGAGTTTGAACATGGGTCAACTCGGATAAAAATCAAGGCACAGGAGCTAAAAATAGAAATCTGTTAACACTATAGTGGTTTCTGTTTTGGTCTAAACATGCCGGAAGTTAATTTGAAAATTTGTTATGATGACTTCTGGTCAAGTTCAAAAATGGGTCATCTTGGGTCAAACACTAGGTCACACCGTCAAAATAATAAAAAAAACCTTGGCCACATGCTATACCTAATTGTCATAAAACTAAGTAAAGATGCTTGTCTAGATAATTGCTTGGATGAGTTCGAACATTAGCTGTTTTTGTTGAAAAACTAGGCCAACGGAGCTAAAAATAGAAAATCCTGTTAACACTCTAGTGGTTACTATTGTTATTCATATATCCTTGAAA